AGGAGGAAAGTCATGATGCAACCTCAGCCTCTTACACCAGCCCTTGTAGCTATTAAACTCAAATCAGGAGGTGATTCAGAAAGGGACAGGAAGAAGGAAGATAAAAGAGATGTGGTATGTGAGCATTGTAAGAAACCCAAACACACAAAAGAAACATGTTGAAAACTGCATCCTCATTTGGTCCCGACAAAGTTGAGAAGCAAGAAGGGTAATGCTCATGTGGCCATGAACACTGATTCAGCATCCTCGTTTGGCACAAGAGGCACACCTTTAGAGACCTTAGCTGCAGTTCGGGCTGCTTTAATACAGTTGGAAAAGGAAGTTGGGAACTCAGCTACCATGTCACCGCAGTCACCATCAGCCCCTACCACATCTGCTTTTGCACATTCAGGTACACGAGCCTCGGCCTACCATGCCTCAGCTCCAGGTACTACTGCACCCTGTTGGGTAATAGATTCAGGTGCATCCGACCATATGACTAGCTTGCCTTCATTGTTTACCACTTATCATTTGTCTTYTGGTAGGGATAAAGTATCTATTGCTGATGGTTCTCTTGTCCCCATTTCTGGCAAGGGTGACATCAAGCTATYGGATAYTATCTCCTTGTCYTCTGTCTTGCATGTTCCTAAGCTTGATACTAACCTTCTTTCAGTCAGTAGTATTACCAAACATATGAACTACTCAGTAATTTTCTTCCCTGACCGATGTGTTTTTTAGGACTTGGAGATGAAGAAGGTGATTGGGACTAGCCGTGAGACGAATGTGATCTATCTGCTTGGGGAGAGTTCTCGTTGGGAAGAGTCAGTGGATAAGAAGTCACTTGTTTCTCAGATTGTGAGTTCGGTTATGCTTTGGCATAACTGATTGGGTCATTTGTCTTTTCGGTCCTTAAAGAGTCTATTCCTACTTTGTTTGAGTCTGTTGAGTTGTCCCAGTTGAAATGTGAAAGTTGTGAGTTTGCTAAGCATTGTAGAAAATCTTATTCATTGAGTAATAAAAGGAGTAATAGTTCTTTTGATATTGTGCATACTGATGTTTGGGGGTCATATCACATCCCTTCTATGGGTGGGTACAGATAATTTTTGTTATTTGTTGATGACCATACTCGGTTTTCTTGGGTTTATCTTATGCGTTCACAAGATGAGGTTCCCGCCCTGACCCAAAACTTCCACCAAATGATCCTAACCCAGTTTGATGCCAAGGTCAAAGTTCTTAGATCAGATAATGCAAATGAATACTTTGCTAAGCCATTGGCATCTTACATTCTTAATCATGGGGTTATCCACTAGAGCACTTGCCCTCATACACCTCAGCAGAATGGGGTTGCAGAAAAGAAGAATAGGCACATCTTGGAGGTGGCTAGAAGTATTATGTTTACCTCCAATGTCCCTATT